CTCACAGTTGCTCATCAGTTCCTTGCTCTTTTTTGCACTGGAAGACAGCCAATCACTGAGTCAAACACCTTCAACCATCTATATCAGCACAGAGATAATACACACAGCATGTAGGCACACACTTACTAGGAGCTGTTGTCAACAAGGTGGCACATTGTCACAAATGGATGCTGAAGAATCTGGCTTGGTGTGATTCTTTCAGAGGCATCCATCTTCAGCATCTTAGACAGCAGCTCCACAAAGCACGCCCCATCTGCACAGGCATCTTCTCTTGACAGTTGATGAGGCCTCCTGTACAGGACGCCGTTCAGGCAGCTGACCGTGCGCTTGTGACAAAAGAATTTCCCTGCTTCACGTTGTGACTAAAGAATAGATGTTTGAGTTAGCTCATTTGTTCCAATTGCAGAGACAGTCTAAAGCAAAGAAACAATGATATTTTATACAAACACAGCTAGATGATGTTACCATAAATCCCCACTGGGGGGATCCAATTCAGCATTTTCTGCCCTAAAAAACTGTGCTCTATGCAGTGCATCAGTCAGCAGGTGGTCTGGAGGTCTACCAACAGTTAGTACGATATGCCTCATCTGTGGGGACAACACAATGCTGCGTTATACTTCAAAGTCCATTTTTAAGCTTTCACAAGAGAATTTCTCCAAAAGTTATGAAACCATTGTGAAAACTGTTTGAAAACATTTTCATCTTAAATTCCATTGAATTTAATTAATTGAAACTTTGTTATTTTAAGAAAAATGCTAAACATGAGTGACAGTGCAGTGGAATACAGCTTATCTCTAGTTATTGTGTTCGTGGGTATAAAAGGAATACATTATGGCTGAAGTTGACATTGATGTCTGGTGTTTTAAGTGCAACACTGTTAAAATGTTATACTTACCATATCATATTCGTCACAGCCAGGGAACAGCACAATGCCCATCAACATTTCAGCTGCAATGCAGCCTAGAGACCATACATCGATGGCGTTGTTGAAGGGACGCCCCAGCAGGATCTCTAGAGCCCTGACAATATAAATGAACATACAACGTTTTGATCAGAAGTAAGCTTGACTAAAAACTTAATTTTTCATTGGATATCCTTTCTGACACAGCTGTTCCACATATACAGATGTGCTGTCAGACACCTGCATCATATCTACTCACCTGTACCACAAGGTCTGAACAGTGCTACCCGTCCATGCTTCAGGATTGTTACAGGCCAAGCCAAAGTCGATGACTTTCACTGCCAATGGCTGCCTTAAGTGATCCACCATCATAATGTTATCTGGCTTTAGATCTGCATGGACAATCCCTGCGCTCTTCAGAAAGTTCAGAGCTGTAGCCAACTGAAAACATCAATTACAGTAAAAATCAGTTCTGGTTCTTCCAGAAAGAGAACAATAATTACAATCATTCAAAGCCAATTTGAATTGAACATGTGACCAGTTATTTCCCTTAGATGGTTTTGAGATGGACCAACATTTGTAGCCACAGTGATAGAAGACACACTTTATCTTAATTTGACCAAACTGAAGGTAAAGGTATCCACAATCTCAAGCCTTTATGGACATTATTTGGCTTAACATACTGCAGAAATCTATTCTTCTTTGTCATTTTATATACTTGCAGTTATATATGCATTTAAGAGAAAAATCGCATTTTCGGAGCTAAAACAAGAGACAATGGGTGTATTGTGTGTTACAACTTTTGTACTGAAGAAACATACCTGTTGCATTATGGGGCGGATCTCTGCCAGCTGAAGAGACTGAGACTGGCTCCTCTTCAGGAAGTCAAAGAGACTGATGTCGAGCTTCTCGAACTCAAGACAAAAACGTCCCTTGAAGGTGAAAGAGTCGTTCCATCTGACGATGTTGAATTTTTCAGAGTTGAGCTCTTTCATCATTTTTAGGATTTCCTCCTGAATGTACGAGATATTAAAAAGAGATCTGGTGTGAATGCAGTGTGCTTTTGAATTATCACACAAGGGAAATGTCGATAAACGTAATTTGTGTCGCACCTCTTCCTTTGCCTCGTGAATGAACGCCAGGGATTTGATGATTTTAACAGCCACAGTTTCGTTGGTGGCTAACTTCCAGCACTGAGTGACCTCTCCAAAGGTGCCACTCCCCAGGAGCTCTTGCACCTCGTAGTCAGAAGATGCAGAAGAGATCCGGCCTCTTTTGACGACCTGGAAATACTGGTTCTCAGTCATGGTGCAAGCAGATGAAATCTGATATTATTTTCTTGCCCTGGAAGTAGAAAAGAAGGAATTTAAACAGTTATGTCTTGCCTCTCACGACCTATATTGCATATTTCTACTGCTCCTTAAAGAAATATACATGTTAAGTGTAAATAAACCTATGCTGTTGTTAAAATAAAGTCTTAAAATTACAAAAAAACTGACATGAAATTATAATAATTAATATATTATTTGTTTAATACAGATGACAACCTTTACACCAATATTTCGGTCGAGAGACAGGATACAACTAATCTCTCAGTTAGTTGTATCTGTTCGTCGTATCACTAATATATCTGTGTATCAGTATCATGCCTTCTATAAACAACCTGCCAATGCCAACAACTTCAGTTGTGAAGTAGTTTTATATCAGCATTGCAACCAGATGTACATGAAAACTTGACTTCAAGAAGAGTTTTCTCTGCCGTAACGTGAGAATTCAATCAACTTACCAGACTGATGTCAGTGATGCTTTGTGTTGAAATTCAGTGTGTAATAACTGTGTCAATAAAAGGGTTTCAGAAAAGGTTTTCAAGTTAACAAGCCAACAAACAGGGTTGAAATGTCTCCAATGATGATCTGACTGACTGAAGTCTGACTATCTCTGTTCTTTTATACCTAAGACATTCTATTGAGTCTATTCCATCATCATGTTGTCATTCTGACACACATAAGATAGAATAGAATGCGAAACATGTATTCTATACGGATGTATAAAAAATAACAGTAACCAGTAAAATAACTGAATCATAACAATACAGTAATTTTCTTGAATCAAAATACAGTTTTAGCTTTAAATTTGCATATTAAATCTTGTGTAATGTTTAAAAATATTTACACATGTGAGAACAACTAAATTACCTTTACATACAGGCTAACACTGCTATAATACAAATAATCAAGTCAAAGAACTGTAATTAAAGTCACAGTCTGAGAAATTACAGTAATGATTACTGTTTTCAGTCATAAAAACTGCATTTGTTCAGTTTACTTATGCTTATACACTGATAAAAAAACATTTATTCAATGTTTTTTATTTTGAAAACATAGCATAAAAATTATAAAATGTATCTGTCAGTTAACAAAAAAACATATATAAAATAAAGGAACAAATACAATAATAAATTGTCACTTATTTTACATAGAAATGTTTTAACAGTATTAAACTTGAATTTGACAGTTTAATCATTTAAATAAACAGTAAATATCTGTGAAAATGTTTTTTCTTAAAATAAGCAGTAATTTTATGATCATTTAGAGTTATATATTTTTCATGTTATTTTATGTTAGACATGTAAATTCACTGGCTGTTTTTGTAGTTATATTCTTATTTCCATGTATTTAAAAATACTGAAAAAAAATCTGAAAAAAATAATAATTGTGCAGATAAAAATAACAAATAACATTTTAAAGAACTCAAATAACTTAACTTTGTCCTTTTCTGCTCGTCCAAAACTCATAAATTGCAGTATCTGCAAAAGCAAAGAGCTTTAAGTTTGTGGACATACACGTGAAATGCCCTGTGGCATGCGATTTCCCTCAAGATCACGTTGGTTTAATTTGCTTTCATGTTCTAAAACAATCATCAGCCATCTAAATGTGGCACACAAACAGAACATAAAATGAAGCTTCTGCAGTATCGGTAGATCTTTTCACTTCCATTTTTCTAAAAGAGAATAATAATCACAAACTTTTTTATTTTCCACACTAGTCACACAAACACTGACTGCAGAGTCTTCTGCTCAGTATTGTAGTGTTTTTCCAAATGAAAAAAAATCTGTTTGTGTTGTGTCAGCTCATTAATTCTCCATGAAAAAAAGATTAAAAAAAAACATTTCAATTTCTAATCAAAACAGTTGCTTATTATTCCCTCTTTGCTTACACACAGGTAAGCAAAGAGGGACACAGGGGGAGCAGCTGATGTACAGTGACGGTGTGTGAATATAAGCTGTAGGATACATACTGAACAGTGTGAGGTTCTATCAGACTGTATGCAGCAGTTCAGGAGAGACTATAAAATATCAATAGTCTATTTCTATTTTAAACATCCTCACCATTCTTGTGAGAATACATTTAAAATTATAATAATTAGAAATACTTTATTGATCCCTAATTGGTTGCATTACAGTTGCACAAGTTGCTAAACAAAGATAATTATAAGAAAACAGAAGTAGTACATTAAAATATCAGAAGAAAAAGCAAGTATAAATATGAATACTATGATCTAGCAGCAGTTTAATGAATAAATACTAATAAACTAAGGGCCACGCCTCAACCACACCTCTAATCACCTGGCAAGCTCCTTATACCTTGTTTACCAGTTTTCTCAACTGCCCCTCCATTTCCCTCCCATTCCTCTCTTTCCTACCCTATACCTCCCTCTGCTCATCCCTACCCACATCCCTTCATCCTCTCTTCTCCCCTCCACCCCTCATCCCTGCAGTGCATAATTATTCCATATCTCATTCTAGGTACCGTCTGGGAGCCTGTAAGTAGCTCAGGTGGAAAACACAACAGACGTGAACCCCCCCGCCCACACCCTCTACATGGTAAACACACTAGTTCTGTACTACACATACACACTACTGTAAGTAGTTTACAATGGCTGGACTGTTCTGTATTTCTGTTAAAGGGAGCCCTGCTCATCTGCCATTCACTTCTATGAACTCAACGTTGTCATGTAATTTCTTCCATTCTTCTGAGAGTCACTCCTGGAGTGATGCCTCTTGTTTTCAGTTCAGGAGTATTTTTGGGTGTGGAGTGTGTTCTGTCTGGAAGAGGAGGAGCCAGTGTGCCAGCAGTGTCAGACAGAGGAGCACAAAGAGCACCAGTGCTGCTCTATACAGGAGGCTGTCCTCGACTGTAAGGTCAGACACAAGAGCTGAATAGTTAGGCAACGCTGCACCAACATATATTTTAAAGGGACACTCCGCCTATTAGACACAGGACAATCTGTTTACTCATCTTGAGAAGTACTTCTCAGGAATTGATGAAAAATCATAGTTAAGAACTGAAGGTGCAGATGTGGGTGTTTATCTGGAGCATGACCCATACTGGGGACTACAAAGTCAATTAATTAAATCAAATCAGTCAATTCAGAAATGACAAACTCCAAAATACCATCAACAATACCTGAACATACCTACATAATGACTTCATTGTCCCTATTGGGCCAGATGTAAAGTTTAACACTGTTAGGGAAACTAGAGTTAGAGATCAGTTGGTTCATCACTACGACAGATTACTTTCCAATTAAACGTTTGATCCACTGCGTAAAAATATTTATTAGTATAGTTAAGGTGTTCACATGTTTAGAAGAATTTTCTATCCTCTTTCTAAATAACCATCACACTTTAATCTAGTAAAACTGAATTGTGTATATCATTATGCTTTCCTCGTGATTTTGTCAGACACATTTACTGAAGCTTTTGCTGCTGTTTTTCAGGATCCGATGTGACGCATACTGCCCCAAACACATACTGCACCTGCAGCTTGTCATTTGTGTGCAATGAGGAGGTGTACCTCTCCCCTCACTGCATAAACATTTAAGAGAGGAGGAGACATGTTAACAGAGGGTAATTATGTATTCAATTTGCAAATGATCCGACTCTGAAGATTAGGTTTGAACAGGATCACAAGAGCCACAATTATAGCAGGTTGTACTGTCTGTTGCATGCAAGTTGTGTAGAGTTTTAAAGCTTAATCCTTGTGTACACAGTTTTACTAAAACATCACCTCACATTTGACACATATCACCTAGGGCTGCACAAATAATCTAAATCTTATTGAAATTGCAATATGGCCAAGTACAATATACAAATCGCAGAAGCAGCAGTTCTTTGATAACAGCATTATAATGAAGTACTGAAGAGCTGCAGCGATGTCAAGGTCTACAAATCTTGTTTGTTAGTTTTTTTCAGTGAAAATGAAATGAAAAAATTATGATGTAAAAATTATCATTCCCACTAAATGTCAATCATAATGAATCATAATATCAGAGAACTCACGTTTGAAATGTTTATTACAGCAGTATAGCATATTTAGATTTTGGCGTCTATGCTCCGACCTCATCACTCCCCACTCATATATTTACATAGAGATATTGGTGAGTGATGGGCAAATACCTTAACCCCCAAAACAGCATGGACTGGAACCTGACGCTATTTAGTGACGAAACTGCTATGTGTGACCTTGGCTTGGCACCTTGGCCGCCGTGTGGCCATTCCCCTGAAGCACCTTGGCCCCAGCGGAATACACTACCTAGTGAACTGCTATTTGTGTGTTTTGCCATATGGCTATTCCCTATGAGTACCTCAAGCCATGAGGGAATATACTACTTAGCAAACATTATGCAGGAACATATAGCAAAGATATAGATACTCTAAACCCAGCAACCACCTGATATGCAAATATATGATTAATTCAATTCAATTTGTATAGCGTCAATTCATAACAGAAGTTATCTCATGACACTTTCAAATAGAGCACGTCTAGACCGAACTCCTTATAACATTTACAGAGACCCAACAGTACCACCATGAGCAAGCACTTGGCGACGGGGGCAAGGAAAAACTTCCTTTTAAGAGGCAGAAACCTAGGACAGACCCCAGCTCTAGGTGGGTGGTCGTCTGCCTCGACCAGTTGGGGTGTCAGCAGATAAATATTTTAAAAGCATTAAGGGGAGCAGAAGCTCATGAGTTTTTGCACAATCAAAATTCCTTCTTGTGGAGCCTGACACAGCCTTGGTAGATTGGTTGATGCAGGCAGATGACAGCTGCGGTCGTAGCTGCACCAATCGGAGGTAGGGAAAGAACAGTGTTCGCGTTAAGCCGCAGCTCAGCAGAGGTCACACATCTTAAGCAGACCCGGGATCTCGTCCTGGGTTGCAACCAACGACGATGAACAAGGGAGCCAACCAATGGGTTGGAACGATGATGCTGGGATTTCATAATAGAGGAGAGAGTGTCACAGTTGATGCTGTGACACTTGGGGGTGTGTTCCTACTTTTTTGTTTCTCCTGTGGTTCTGTGTGTGTGTGTGTGTGTGTGTGTGTGTGTGTGTTAGTTATGCCTGGCAGTGAGCTGATCACCTGGTGGAGTCGCACACCTGCTGGCAATCCTCATCAGTGCCTGGCCTTAAGAAGTGGGGTTTCCTGAGACTCGTCGCCAGATTATTCCTTACCCATGGTTGAGTACTTCAGGCCAATTTAGTCTCTAGAGTTTTTGGTTAGTTTTAGAGTGAGTTTCTCTGTCAAGACCAGAACTAAAGCTTTGTGTTTTTTCTCTCCTTTCCAAGATTCCTGAGTGTTTTGTGTTGCCTGGAGGATCTTTTGGAGCGCTGGTTGCCACTGTTCAGGACCTGCCTGCCCCTGCTCCCACCTGCCCTTTTCAAGCACAGTTCCACTTCTACTCAGTTCTTTGTGAATAAAACCCTTGACCTCAACCTGCCTAGAGTGATCTGAATCCGCACCCTGGTCCACAGTCCTACCAAACACAACAGAGAGGACAAAATTTAGTGTTAGTCTTAGCAATAAAATTTGAGTGCCTTGTTGAGATCTACCAGTTTGTGAGTGCTTAAAGAATATTGAGTACATGTGATGTGATCTTCTAAGGTTAAATCAGAGAAGGGAAGATCATGCTGAGGATTAAGATGAGATCTGCATGCATATTCACACCTGAGAAACCCGTAAAAGCTATTAACAGAACTTCTTCCAACATTACATAAATATAAGTGAAAACCATTAATGCACCAGTGAATTGTGTGAGGAGTCTTAACGTTGCCTTGAGGATGCGCCTTTTAAAGCCATTGAAGAGCAGCTGAGTGGAGGATTTCCCAGAAGACTCTGGGATGCTGGATCTTTACATCGAATGTGAAACTGAATCCCTGCTAGCATAGCTTTGATACTTTGCATTGAAGATGATAGAATCAAGTAGAAAAAAAAAAAATGCACAAAATGTGAATTATTTCCACTATAGCAGCTCACAAAACACCATAGTGCTTCTGTGGCGGCTGTGGCTCAGAGGCAGAGCGGGTCGTTCCTAAATCGGAAGGTTGTGGGCTGATCCCCAGCCCCTGGTGCCACATGTCGAAGTGTCCTTGAGCAAGATACTGAACCCCAAATTGCTCCCGATGCCATGCATCGGTGTGTGAATGTGTTTGAAACCATCCGCTGCCCCAAACGACAGTTGGGTAGTGTTCATAAAGAACAGTGAATTTAGAACTGGTTTTAAGGGACTGAATTTCTGTCGTCTGCAAACCACTCATGAGAACCCCCAAAACCAACAGAGGCGCTGCATCAGTCAAAACTAGGGGGAATCTGCAAATTTTTTTTTAAAAATGCTGGTCCATCATCACATAAAAGACTAGAACTGCATATCTGAGTAACAGCCTTAGTCTAAGACACAGTATCTTAAGATTTTAACAGATTTAGCCAGAACCAGCAACGTGATATGAACGACCTTGAGGGAGAATGCGCATAGCGAAGTTAGAGAAACTCTTCTAGAGAGAATGGGGGCGGCAGACCAGATTTGATGGCTCTTCTGATGCGAGACAGCTTGTCTTGTTGCAAAGATGCTTGCATGAGCACACTATCAAGGGTTATGCTACAAAATTCGAAACGCGTAGAAGGGACTATAGTTTCCCTTCAGAATGCGGTACCCCTAACTCCTGGTAAACTTTCACCCTTAGCGTGTGTGGCGGGGGCTGCAAAATGTGGAGCTCTCAATGTGAATCTTAGGTTGCACGACAACGCCACCTTGGGAATTGCACCCAAGGAATTATTTTACACTGATCAAAAACAGGTTTGTTCCATTCCACAGGCAAGACACATGGTTCCCAGTTTACAAAAATACTTTATTTAATAAATATATATATCATTAAAAAATAGCATTCATCCCAATAAATGAAAAGGGGAGCCTAATCAGGGGCTGAGACCTACTGGTGGGGAAAGAGCAGGTGAAGGGGACTCAACAAAATTAAATTAAAGAAAAAGGGTTCACCCAGACACACGTGGCAGTCACACACTGTGGTATCACCAAATCCAAGGAAGCACAGCACACAAGAAGGAGGGACACCACCACCCACGTCACCAGCACCACCACCAGCCTGCAGCCACTGAGAAGGGAAAACAAAAGTTACAATGGAAGTAATTAACACAAAATGTACCAAAAATATACAACATAAAGCAGGAAATAGTTAACCAAATAAGCTTAACAAGCAAGTTACTTAATCAAAACAATAAAGTATAACAAAACAATACAAAACGAAGGGATTAACTCCTCACCATCGTTCAGCTAAAATAAAAAGGGATGAACAGGTCACCTGTAGATTTCGGCCAGCTGACGAGCATTCCCTGTCAATAAACATACAATTAGCATAGCTAAACTACATTAATCAAAGCTTTTGAGAGTTAGATTTAAGGTAGCATACCTGTATTCAAAGTCAAACCTGCACAGGGAGAGGGAGAGAGAGAGAGAGACCCACACGGCAGCAGACATCTACCTGTGACCACACTAGCGTTAGCTACAGGATAGCATTCGGCGTAACAGAGAGAGAGGACACTTACCACCGCTAGAGAGAACCAGGGTCTAAACGGAGCATGGAGCACAAAGCACGGGGCACTCGGTCGCTGCTCTGCAGTGGAAACACGCAGGCTTTAAGCAACAGGACACAGTAACAGGTGAAACAAAGCAGTAGCCGCAGCAGTGGCATGGAGCATTACCTGCACAGGCAAACACCTGACCCGGAAATGATGAAATGACGTTAGTGAGCGCGCGAGAAGGAGGGCCGTACTTATATACTGCCGCCCTAGTGGTCAGCAGGCGCAATTAACTGCAGCATGACAGCCCTATTTCTATGCTGCTACATTCTACCCCGCCTCCTTGGATCATCGTCCCGACGATCAACAAAGTAAGGCTAGTACAACAAGCTAACTTCAAGGTCTAAACAAGGCAGAGACTGAGTTGGACACAGAAGCAGGAGGATTAGCAGCACAAGCATCTCCAGCAGACCGTGGGAAATGATGCACATTTGAATGCTGACCAGCCGTTTGACGTGTGGTCCGGCGTGGGCCCATGTTACTGGAACCAGGACAAGTGACAGATGGAAGGGCTGGAGATGTTAATGCTCCTGACACAGCTGCAGGCACTTGAGACACAGCTGATCTGGTGGAGGGCATGGCAGAAGTGGCCATATGAAATGGTTGGTCTAAGATCAACAAATCATACTCAAATGAAGGCTCCTCTGCTGGGGGTGATTCCTCCCCAGAGGTCGAGTTATGAGAAGAGGCATGACCAGGTGAGTCCACCATTACAACAGCCTTCAGCATAGTGCGGTGGACCTGTCTGACTTTGGTCTCGTTGTCCATTGGCGCAATAGTATACACCGCGCCGCCTTCTTTAGGCATTCTCAACACACGATACTTCACAGAACTCCACCGATCCCGGGTCTTCTGGGGCCCCCTAGCACTTAAGTCACGCAAATACACGAGCTGCCCTCCCTGCAATGGCAGATCTCTGACATGCTGATCGTGAACTCGCTTCCGCCGATCAGCAGCATGTTTCAAGCGCTCTCGTGCTCCTTCAAATGCTACATGCAAACGGGCTTGGTGCTCTTGAACCCACTCATGGATAGAGCCACCGACAGGACTCTCAACTCGACCCAACAAGAAATCAATGGGCAGTCTGGGTTCCTGCCCGAACATCAGGAAAAAGGGTGACTCTCCAGTTGACTGGTGGGGAGTTGTGTTATAACAATACAACACCTGAGGCAGACACACATGCCAATCCCTTTTCTGGGACACTGGCAAGGTACGCAGCAAGTTGTGGAGCGTCCGGTTAAAACGCTCGCACTGACCATTTCCTTCCGGATGGTATGGGGTAGTGCGTGATTTTACAATCCCATACAGGTCACACAACTGCTGAATGAGGGTGCTTTCAAAGTTACGGCCCTGGTCAGAATGCAAACGAGCAGGGACGCCAAACTTATAAAACCACTCCGAGACCAAAACCCTGGCCACAGTAGCAGCACGCTGATCCCGAGTAGGGATAGCCACAGTGTACATACTAAAAACATCTGTAAGCACCAAAACATTCTCTAAACCATTCTGGGCTGGTTCTAGAGTCGTGTAATCGATGGCAAGGATTTCATTAGGGCGGGAAGCCAAAAGATGCCCCATAAAGCTATGTGCTTTTGGGTGCACATCTTTGGCCACTTGACACCGCTCACATCTCTGACACCATTGAGCCACCTCGGAAGACATACCGGGCCAGTAGCATCGGGACCAAAGGAGCGCCAATGTTCACTCCACCCCCTGGTGACCATGCTCCTGGTGCACCTGGGTCAGAACCTGATCTATCCATGCTTTTGGCAACAACAACTGAAACATGGCTTCGGCGCCATCAGGACGACACACCTTTCGGTACAGGACACCGTCCCTCTCCAGTAGGCGATCCCACTGCCTGAGCAACACCAGCGTGGGCTGGGAGAGCCGTGCCCGCTCCTCACAACTGGGACGCTGGTTCTCCCTCCAAAAAGGCAACAGTTCTTGTATCACAGGGTCAGACTGCTGAGCGAGATGGAGTTCGGAACAAGTGTGCTGGGGCAAGGCGGCAATGGCAGCCTGGGTCGCCTCTGCCTTTCCCAACCCCAGAGCTTGCTGCAAAGACTTGGGCATCACGGTGCCTGGAAGCATCGCAGCGACATCCTGGGGACCAGGTGGATGCTGACGGGAGAGAGCATCTGCATTAGTGTTGCTCTTCCCTGATCGGTACTTTATCTCAAAGTCAAAAGAAGCTAACTGGGCGGCCCACCTCTGCTCAGTAGCAGCCAGCTTAGCCGAAGACAAATGACTAAGGGGGTTGTTATCAGTGTACACCACACATTTGTTACCCAACAAGTACCCTCGAAATTTCTCTGTCATGGCCCACTTAAGGGCCAAAAACTCGAGTTTCATGGAGCTGTAGTTTACCATGTTCCTCTCGGTGGGTTGCAGGCCCCTGCTAGCATAGGCTATAGGCCTCACCTTGCCTGCCTGAGCCTGAGAAAGGACTGCACCCAAGCCACCATGGCTTGCATCAACTTCCAGGATGAAGGGAAGAGAAAAGTCTGCATAAGCCAACACCGGTGCCATGGTGAGCTTAGCTTTCAGTGTTTCAAAGCTCTGGTTACACTCATCATTCCAACACCTAGACAGCCGCTGCTCAGTCTTCTTGTTGGTCACAGTCAGCCACAACACTATGCAGAGGAGCTGCCAGTTTGGCAAATCCTTCCACGAAGCGCCGATAATAACTGGCAAAACCAAGAAAGGAACGAAGCTCTGAGGCAGTAGTGGGAATCGGCCAATTGGCAACCACTTCAATCTTGCCTGGATCTGTGGAGACACCGTCGGCCAAAATCACATGGCCCAAATAGTTCACCTCTTTGCGAAAGAATGAGCACTTGCT